ATGTACAAATGCGCTTTACACAATTGATGTATGTATGGAATGTGATAAGAGTTGTATGAGCCCCTAATAAAATGATTTAAAAAAAAAGAAAGACAAATGCTTTAAAGATTATATATGAGCACTTAAAAGAGAAAGTAAAATTAGAGAAACTAGTGTAATTTTCAATTGCTGTATTGTAAATTCTTAAAAAAATATTTCTCAAACTGTCTTACCTATTTATGTTACCAGTGCACTTAATATCAAAATTTGAAATATACTATATATATGTAAAATAGTACCTGAAACTGAACTCTTGGACACTGAATCAGAGATAAATTAGTACCAATTTTCCTTACAATACTTCGAGATGAACCATACGGCTTCCCAGACCAAAGTACCTGAAAAAAATAGGAACAAAAGATGTTAAAGAATTATTAACAACTTTCCTCTAGTTCGTTAATGCTTCCTCCCCTCTACTATCATGATCCCAATTCTACCTTACAAATCCGGCTAGATCAGAGCATGTACACTGATACAGATAAGAACTGGAAACACAGGGAATCCAGGACAGATGATCCCTTCAAGACCAGTGGTGAGAGTGGTGATACTGGGAGGGTGGACAGAAGGTGGGGTAGAGAGGGGAACCGATCACAAGGATCTACATCTAACTCCCTCCCTGGGGTACGGACAACATAAAAGTGGGTGAAGGTAGATGTCACACAACGTAAGACATGACAAAATAATAATAATTTATAAATTATCAATTATTAAGGAGGGAGGGAAAAAATGAAGAGCTAATTACCAAGGGCTCAAGTAGAAAGAAAATTGTTTTGAGAATGATGGCAACAAATGTACAAATGTGTTTGACACAATGGATGGACTGATAAAAGTTGTACGAGCCCCAAATAAAATGATTTTAAAAAGCAAACTATTAATAAAAACCATTGAATAATTAATTACATGACATGCTAACACACGAATTACAGGATCTGCAATACTCTAAATAACATTGGAAAATCAAAATTAAAGAGTATACATAGCTAAGTATTAATACAATAATAAAGTTTAATTTGGAACATTATGTAAAATATAGACTAGTCATATTAAAAGATGATTTCTGAAACAAAACTATTTAAATATTTTTCATAATATTCTTCAGAGGAAATAATGTTTGACCTCGCCTGGCTCTATTTTAGCATCAGAATATAAATATATATTTATTTATTTATGGCTCAAAGTCTTTATTGATGGCATTGGGGAGACAAGGGGATATGGCAACTCCTGCTTCTGAGGCAGTGTTCAGAACCCAAGCAGCAACTTCAGTGAGTACCTTCAAAAAACTATATAATTTCAGTATTTAAAAAAAATACTGGCAAGATATGACAAAATACCCATTTATAAACAATCAAGGGCTCACGCGGGAGGGGGGAGCGGGGAGGGAGGGGAAAAATGAGGACCTAATGTCGGGGGTTTAAATGGAGAGAAAATGTTTTGAGAAACGATGTACAAATGCGCTTTACACAATTGATGTGTGTATGGATTGGGATAACAGTTGTATGAGCCCCTAATAAAATGTTAAAAAAAAAAAGAAAAATAATACTAACTACTTCTGCTGTAATCGGCTTTTATTTAGAAACAAAAGGCGTCCCATATGGGGTTGATCTAGGTTGTTCACTGCACAAGAGCACCTGGCGAGTGGGAACAGCAAGGCAGTCACTCTGCTCACCGGAAGCTGCATCTTCTTGGGTGGCGTTACCCTACAGAAGAGATGCCTTTTCCTAATTTGCAAATGAAGCCACTAAAGAAAGGGCTAAGAGGTAATGCACGTTTTCTCAGATCCAATCATAACAACATATAAGGCAATGCACTATGCTTAGAGTGCAGAAATAAACCCTCAAAGCAAAAGTAAAACTAGCAGCAAGCATAGAGAATGCCAAGTCATTACAAATTGTACCTGGAAAGTTCTCCCCTAAAGTCTGTCGCTAAGTCACACAGCATTGCCGCCATGGTTCCAGTTCAGGACAAACACCCAAACCAAACCCACTGCCTTTGAGTCATCTCCAACCCAGAGCCTGTAAAGGGTTTCCGAACCTGTGACTTGACAGGCGCAGAGAGCCCCATACAAGCACAGTTATTCCATATTAAACACGTCTAAGCATGTCTCTGGCATCAGTCAGTGGGGTGACTATAAACAAGTTCTCTTAGTAGTCCACTTGTCTTAATTTCCAAAACAAGGGTACTTTTTGTGCATGGCAAAAAACAACAAAGAAGGATTTTCAAATTAATGAATCTTTACAACAAATTTGAGCAAATGCTGCCCACACATACAAGATTTCTGCTAAATCAAGCAGGACAATTTTGTGAAATGAACTTAACCAGGGGCGAGGCTTGGATTAACCAATAGGATCTAGAGAGCAAGGTGCAAACAAAACAGTGACTTCTGACAGTATCTGCTAGGCCCGTTAGAATTAAGGCAGGGAGGTTAGCTCACACGAGTATGGGGACTGTTTCTGGGGGATTCACAAGGGAGAATCTGGATAGATTTTACTCACAGGATGTAGGACAATTATGAAGACGTTTTCAGAAAACTAAAAACTACATTGGTGAGAAAAAGGCTAGAAAAGTTGCACCAGAGAATTTTTTTCCATTTATAAAATAAACATAGAAGCAACCTGATCTTAGATTTTAGAAAAATCTAGGATGATGGCATGAGACAAAGTGAGATACCAGAGATACCGCAAGCATCACTCAGCTTTTATTTCTCATTATCATTACGTTCAAGGCTTACGGGAGGCACCAAGACAAGAGCACTGTCACCTCTACTGGTGTCTATAACCCAAGAAACCAAAGGACAACAACACAAACTCCAACTATCCCTCTGGCTTTGTGAAAGTAAACAAAGACACACGGTATAAATCCGACCGTTTCCTTTTAATTAGAAAGCTGGCCCATGGAAAGATAGGGAGATCAATAAGCAGATCTAAATAGTATAAAAAGAATAGGAGGCAAAGGTTATCCTACAGCTTAGATGAGGGTTTACCGATCTTCAGGCATCCAAACATCATTCACACAATGAGCACACTGAGGATTATGACAAACATAGTCCCTCAAAATAAGACTAGTCTTTTTTTTTTTTTTACATTTGTTTTAGTTTTTAATATCTTTTTAAGACTAGTCTTAAGTACATGTGAGAACTAAGAAAAGGAAAAACATTTGAATAGAGGGAAATGGGAAGCAACAATTTTATCAAATCAACATGAGAGGTCAGGAAAAAATAAGTACATGGGCAAGTAAACCTACACACACAATATTTAAGCAAACTCTACCTTATCCATTTTAGTAGGCTTTTTTTTTTTTAACCTACACGACAATTACCACATTATCTGGTCATTTTTCTTGAGTTTCTTATAATTACTCACAAATCAAAAGTTCCACTATGATGTAAGAGCATCACAGAATGCTACTGTGTGCATCACAATGTGTTAATTCCACAGTCTAAAGTGCATCTTCCTCCCACTCTAGCAGCCAAGCTCTTGCCTGGGGACAGAGAGGACAACAAGCTGTCAAAGAAAAGTTCAGAAAGGATTTGCCAAGGTCAAGAACGAATATTCCTGCCAGCATTTGGCATTCCTCACTGCACATGCTGCACAGGCTAAGTTTCAGCTATTATCTTCCCATCTGTTTAATATTAGAAGGAAATAATGCCAGTGCTTTCTACAAGAGAAGGCGGCCAAAGATTCTACTTTTACTCATAAAGACGAGGTAGACGGTTTAGGCTTTTCCACAAACTTAATGTCGGTTAAAGAACAGATTGTTTTATGTGATTATCTTTCACGTAAACTCAAGAGTTCACTTGTTCTTCTGTTACTTGTGAACTGCACAGCACATAGCACCAAGAAACATGAAGCCAGAGTCCATGTAAGCTGGCGACTGGAATATTTGGAAAGAGGAGGTGCCATCACCTTTATTGAGAAGCAGAAAAGTGGGGGGTTAAGAGCAGCTAGAACATCCAGAAACACTCAAACTAGGTTTTACTTTAACACCCCCAACTCCACCCCACCCCATTTTTTTCTATTCAGCCCTCGCGGAGAGGGAGCAATTGTAACTGGCTGCAGAAACAGTGAACAGATGGTGCTGAGAAGTCACCATCTGTGCTCACGGAGGCTGGGTGACCCAAGGGGCTGTCCTCCCTCAACCTGTAGCTGAGCCACATCTCTATCTTTTCAGAGTTCTTGTTTGGATAGGGGAAAGCTCCCTCCAAAGATAAACTCTTGATAGTATTTTTTCAGATATGAGAGAGCAGAAAGAAAAAAAATCTATAAAGTGTATGAAATATATTAATAACAAAATCTGTTTAAGTGTATGAAAGTGCCCTGGTGGTGTAGGGGGTTGTGTGTTGGATTGCTAACCTCAAAGTCATCAGTTCAAATCCACCAGAAGCTCTATGGGACAAAAATGAAGCTGTAAATATTTATAGTCTTAGAAACCCCCAAGAGCAGTTCCACTCTGTCCTACAGGGTTGCTTAGTGGGAACACACTCGATGGCAGTGAGCTTGAGAAATGAGAGAGTACGACTACTGTGTGTGTGTGTGTGTGTGTGTGTGTGTGTGTGTGTGTGTGTAGTACATAAAATTTAGCAACAGTGCTTACAAGTGATAATAGCAAGGATAGAAATGACAACAGGAAAGCAATTTGTTCCTTTCTAACACTGTCAAATGCTATTGTAGAAGTGTTGAAGTGTGAGGCTCGAATACGAAGCTGTCATCTGTCTCATCCATGTTGACTACACCACCCAAACTTTATGTGGCCAAATTCATTTCTTATAGACTGGTTTGATTTTTATGATTATTTGAGAAGAACTATTTAGCAGGAAAAACTATAAGTGTAATTCTAGTAATTACTATATTATTATATTCTAAGAATTAACTTTTATTCTCAAGATAAATAATGTGATATTAATATACCGTGTTTCCCCGAAAGTAAGACATCCTCCGAAAATAAAGCCTACTTAGTTTTCCCTCTCGCTGAAATTTAAGGCATCCCCCCGGAAATAAGACCTCCCTGATAATAAGGCCCCCCGAAGCTAATGTAACTCTGGACTCTGGACTGCAGCAGCACGTGCCGCCACGCAGCTCACTGTTGGCCGCAGCACAGCTGGAGCAAACAGGAGGTACGAGGTCTCTTTTAATCAGAGAGCCCACAAAAAGAGTTCAACAATAAAGGTGTACCGTATTCTTCATGGAAAAATAAGACATCCCCCGAAAATAAAACCTAGAGCATCTCTGGGAGTAAAAATTAATATAAGATACTGTCTTATTTTCGGGGAAACAGGGTAGAAGTTCTTATTCCGAATTTCATGTACCCTTTATATTACAAGCAAAACTTTGTGTTTATATGATATTTTTCAGGGAAGGTTCCATGTCATGAATCAAATTTTGAAGGAGCCTAGGAGAAGGAATGCACACGGGAAACACAAAGAGGAACGGGAGTAACTATTGGTGCACTGAGGGGACTGCGGTGGATGAGCTGAAATCAAATGTATGTAAGTTGTAGAATATAAAATTAGCTGAGGTACTCTGTAAACTGTCACCTAATTCACAATAAAGTTTTAAAAAAATATATAAACGGAACTGTGGATTCGAGCATGAGTTCATGAGATTTGGCGTATCTCCTACAAGAATAAAGAGCACAGCTCAAACAGGTATAAGCACACCGTGTTCACTGCAGCACTACACACAGCGTTCGGAAGAAGGAAACACCTACATGCCCAGCAGTGGGATGATGGACAAACTTTGGGACATACACACAATGGAATACCATGCATTGTTGAAAACAACAAAACTGAAACACTGCATGGCGTGGATGGATTATAAAGGACAGGACGCTGAGTGACATTAGTCAAATACCAAAGGGCAAATATTGTGTACAGTGACTTATTTATTTTTAATTAAGAAGAGGTTTTACACCAAAAGAAACAGACTTTGATGGTTCGTAGGAATGGAATGGGGAGGGGACGCAATAAGCTAGAGGGTAGACAAGTGTTGGCTAACTTGGGTAGAAAGGGAAGAGGTGGGGAAAGGAGGTCAGGGAGGGAACACTGACTGAGCTATTTAGTAAGTTGTTTAAAAAGTATGCCAAATGATGCTTCAATAGGTAAACCCCTCCCTACCTAATTCACAATAAAATGCTTGCCACTTTATGGCCTTACATTATTTTAAAACAGATTTTCAGATAACTGATTAAAGTTGATGTTACCCTCAAAACACACACAGGCACACTTACTTTTTTCATCCACTATCAGTAAGAATAGTCCTGAGGATTAGTCACAACACTGGGATCAACGATCACAGGCACCCATTTCGTTGTCTAAGATATCTGAAAACACCGCGTTCTCTCTGCGTGTCACTGGCTGACACGGAGTCTGTACCCTGTCTCTGCAGCACTGTCACAGCAGTGTGACTCGAGCGGAAGGTTGGGGAACTTGCCCGACTAGGAGTCCCTGGACAACATGTTGACCTCGCACTAATGGCCTCCCTCACCGGATGATGTGTCTGTCTCTGTGTCAGCTTTGTCCCTAAGACTCAATAAATGTTCTCTTATTTTTTAAAATAAACACAGGAAACAAACCATTACAGAACAATCCTACACTATGCACATTCCACTATGCTAGGTGCTTCCCACGGACTGTCATTTATTCAGTCGCAGGTTAACTCTGCAGTGGTTCTTCTATTTCCGATTCGCAATGAGAAATTGAAGCCCAGAGAGTTAAGATGACTTCTCGTTCTTCTACACCAGTCATAGGCAGAAAAAAGTTTCAATTGGTGTTTTGCTTAAATCGAGGACCCAGAATCTTTCCATAAACTACACTTCTTACTAAAATTATAAATCAAACAAGCGGCCATCTAGCTCAGAAGCAACAAAGCCCACATGGAACAACATATCAACCTGTGTGATCACGGGGTGTCGAACGGATCACTGAAGACAAATGGGTGCATAAGCAAATGTGGTGAAGAAAGCTGATGGTGCCCGGCTATCAAAAAGTATAGCGTCTGGGGTCTTAAAGGCTTGAAGGTAATCAAGCGGCCATCAAGCTCAGAAGCAAGAAAGCCCACATGGAAGAAGCACACCAGCCTATGCAAACACGAGGTGTCGAAGGGATCAGGTATAAGGCATCATCAGAAAAAAAAATCTTACCATAGTGAATGATGGGGGGAGTGCAGAGTGGAGATCCAAAGCCCATTAGTAGGCCACTGGAGATCCCCTTGCAGAGGGGTCTCGGGGAGGAGATGAGCCAGTCAGGGTGTGATGTAACAATGATGAGAAATACAACCTTCCTCTAGTTCCTAAAGGTTTCCTCCCCGCTCCCACTACCATGACTCGAATTCTATCTTGCAAGACTGGCTACACCAGAGGAGGTACACTGGTACAGATAGGAACTGAAAATACAGGGAATCCAGGACGGATGAGCCCTATGGGACCAGTGGTGTGAGGGGCAAAACAGGGAGGGTAAAGGGAGAATGGGTAGGAAAGAGGGAACCGATTACATGGAACTGTGTGTGACCTCCTCCCTGGGGGACAGACAACCAAAAAGTGGATGAAGGGAGACGTCGGACAGGGCAAGATATGACAAAATACCCATTTATAAACTATCAAGGGCTCATGCGGGAGGGGGGAGCGGGGAGGGAGGGGAAAAATGAGGACCTAATGTCGGGGGTTTAAATGGAGAGAAAATGTTTTGAGAAACGAGGTACAAATGCACTTTACACAATTGATGTGTGTATGGATTGGGATAACAGTTGTATGAGCCCCTAATAAAATGTTAAAAAAAAAAAAAAATACAACCATGGAAACCAAAAATAAATAAATAAATAAAATAAAGTTATAAATCACTGTTAAGTATAAATAGTAAAGTTTCCCATTTGGGATTTATAATTCTCGAAAGTTTTCTTTCTTCCTGGAAGTCAGAGAAAAAAGAGGTATTTTCATGTCAGCACTAAAATGTGAATCTATTCTATTCTATTGTTGGTGTTCAGTGCTTGGAGTGTCAGTTCCGACTCACAGTGACCCAGGTGCAAATGTGCAACAGAGGGACACGCTGCCTGTCCTGTGCTGCCCTCACAACTGTTTACGTTTGAGTCCACTGTTGCTCCACGATGTTGACCTCTGTCTCTCAATGCCCCTCTTCTTTACCAAAAGTAGTAACCCCCACCGAGAAAGGAAGTACAGCTGCACTACATGAAGTCCACAGGAACACGCAGCCAGCTCATGTCAGCAACAATAACTTCACAAGCGATTTTCCTACTGCTTATCCTGAGCCAATTATCTCAATATTATGTACCTGTAAACAAAGGTAATTTGGTTCTTAGCTTCCAATCTTCAAAAAATTTAGAAATGTGGGTGAAGGAGGGTCGGGGCAAAGGAGTGGGATTTAAAACTTAACTTTCTCTTAACAAAATGGGAAAAGACACGAAATAAAGCAGTAGTCTCACTAAAAACAGTAGAAAGTTTAAAACTTCAACTGTATGCATATTGCATAATCTGCCTGTTTTTAATAAGCAAAATTTACTTGCACGTTACAAAACACCAAAGCATTGAATTTGAAAATGAAAATGAATATTCAGCAAAATATGCTCTGGACAACAATGGTTCTAACTACACTAATACAGGAGGGCTTCAGATCATCAAGGAATGGAAAAAGGGGTAACAAAATTGTTTACTAACTTTTTGAGCCCACTGATATACTGGACCACATTTAGCTATCAGCAGGAAATTCTCACAAAGAAAGAAGTCTGAGTATCATTGACACAGAGTAACCGTAACAGTAACCATACTGTATAAAATGGTTATCTCCATAAGCATTATTGCCACATATGTAATTTACTTTTATTTTTAAAAGGTTGCTCTATCACATTGTAAAGACATTCAATATTAATTATTCTACAACATTCAGAGGTGTCAAGTGTTTTAGTCATGGTTCACTCACTGATTTCCATATAAATGTAAGACTTCTCATTAAAACAGGAAAAGCACAGCTTTGAATGTTCACATTCAATGACATCAGAAACTTGACTCACATACTTGTTTCTACATTGTAAGCAAATGAAGTAATAGTACATAACCATACTGGACCTAAAATGCTACTCATACATAATTTTCTCCAAATTTTTTTTTAAAATAAATAGATGTCTAGATTTTAAAAATTAATTCTGTGCACTTACCGAATGCATGTTTACTCCAACTTGCTGAAGCACCATTCTAACTAAGCGCTTAATCCAGCCAAGCATTTAGATGGCTCAGTCTGTCCAAATGTGCATTTCAAATATTGAAGGCGTACATAGCAGCACATGGTCCACAGAGCACACTGCAATTTTAAAATATTTGGAAAAAAATAATTACAATCTTTACTGCTTACAATCTTTATCTCCCAACATCTAAAACTTAAGCTATATTACTTATGTGGAAGTGGTAGTCTTTGGGCATTGGGGGGAGCCCCCAGCTTGGTGGGTGTTCAATGGAAAGGGACCCAGAATCACCATATATTTAGTACCTTGATGCCCCACTTGCAGTGGTATGACAGATTTTGATCTGTTGGGCAGGGATCTGCAGTTGGAAGAACTGATCTAGTAAGTTTCCCCCCAGGCACCAGTCCCCATGCTTAGGGTAAACAGCTCAATCGAATGGGAGATCAAGCTGTGCAGGGCAACAACTCAGGGGTTGCAGCTCAAGGTGGAACTGTACTGGCACGGACTCCACATACCAACAGTGTCTGCAGTGCTGTGCCATTGCAAAAACAAGACGTCATCAGTGCAATTGTCTTATACTTCATTGTTTTGTTGCTATTGTTGGTTTTATCGATTTTGATTTTGTTATAATCCTACTGCCAAAGTAAACCTGAGTCGTGCATATCCCAGGGACAAGCAGATGGATTCTGGGCTCCCACTTAACTCTAGCTCCAATCCAACTTAGTTCTCATAACATGGCCCTGCTCGATACGCACCTTCATGAAATGAACACTGAAGCTAAGGGCACTACAACAAAGC